GTTACGGTGGTTAATCGAATAGGCTTCATGGTGTTCAGCCGGATAGGCTTTACCAGTTCGGCCCAACCGAATAGGCTTCACTGGTCTGGCCCAACCAAATGATTTCCTGTTGACTACTGGGTCGTTGAGCTTGTTGGGCCGAATCCTTATCATAGGCCTACCCCGGGGCATCACACCGTGAGGAGGTACAAGCTATAGCTACGGAAATTGGCGAACATCACCTACTCTTCTTCCTTCCTCTACTACCGCTTTGCTGATCGTTGGTCATGAGATGACTGTTACTTCTAGCGCCGTAGTGTTCTTGGGCTCAGATTGTGCGCGGGTTTTTTTTTTGGTGAGTGGCACTTTCCCTTACACCATAGATCTTATTGTTTTTTTTTTGTTACTTCTTGTGTTCTGTCATGGCAGTTGACCAATAAATTGAAAGTTTCTTCCAAAAAAAATTAGCGCCTCTACTAAGACATGGTTAGATCTCCGAATCAAGCCACTTTCCCTGCCTATTCCAGCAACAACAACAGCAGCTCGGTGTCCGATTTGTCCATTCCCTTGAGTTGACTCATGTAGCCGCCGTGAGACTTGAAACGGAAGACGAAGAATCTCCTGCAAATGGTGCTTGCTCACGCCCTAAACTGTCCCCTCACGGCGTCGCCGTTTGACCACCGCAGAGCACACACGCATGCCGCGCGTGTCATCTGCTGATATCTCCCGTGTTATCGCGACTCCATATGTTTACTTCTGCCTGCCTATCTTCATGTCAACTCACTTGCCCAACAAAGGCAGCAAATCAACATGGAAAAAGCAGAGGAGTTAGATTAGGGTACCGGCCGGCAGCCCCCGTACGTCAACTGCCGGCCACCTTTTCCCCGGCCGGGTCGCCTTTCCTTTCCGGCGGCCGGCCTGCACGCACTGCACCACATCATCATCGCACTAATGCTGCTAGTGGCACGGTTCACTCCAACCCCAACTCCAAGCCGGCCACACACACACTACATGCACGAACATATTCAACTTTTAATAAGGTGGAAGTAGCTTGCACCAAACAAAAGATAAAGGGGAGAAGAACCATTACATATCATGCATGCACACATCCTGATTTTGCTCAAACAGTTCTCCCCTGTTTTTAAGACCCTTTTTCTTTCAGAAGTACAAAAAATAATAATGTATTGACCAGTTCTTTGCGTCCTTGCGCACTTAAATATTCATGAGTTCATGACAGTGAGATCATTATCTTGAGAGGGATATACGGTGAGATTATCACTCACCATTTTGACTCTAAATTTAGGCTGTTCCAATAAAAGTAATACTACTAACTAAACTATTTGTTCCTATCTTTTCTCAAGTTCTTTTTTTTTCCATGGTACCTTTTTTTTGAACATCGGTACAGACACAAGTGCTCATATACACGCGCATACACTCACCCCTATGAACGCACACACGCACACCCTATCCCTATGAGCACCTCCGAAAGACTGAGCCGGCATATCATCTTGAAATTTACGAAGTCACCATAAGCGCCTCGTCGTCGACGGGAACGTCTCCTCCCACTGAATGCGCATCGCCGAAAATCCTGAAATAAATCCAGGAATAAATGGGAGCACCGGGATTTGAACCCTGGTGGGCTGGGGATACCACAGTCCCTCTAACCATCCAACCACAGGTTGGTTCGCTTTTTCCATGGTACTTTTTCTAAAAACATATTAACTCTATGCAGTCGTCTATGCCAGCCACGTACGTACGTATCTTGCCCGTAAGTATGAGAACGATCTGCAAGCGAAATTGTACCGTGTAAGTCAGAGGGAGACGTGCGAACCAATCAGTGGTTGGATGGTTAGAGGGACAGTGGTATCTCCAGCCCACCAGGGTTCAAGTTCCGGTGCTCGCATTATTCCTGGATTTATTTTAGGATTTCCTGCGATGCGCTTTCAATGGGAGGAAGCGTTTTCGTCGACGACGAGTCACCTACGGTGACTTCGTAAATTTCAAGATGACATGCCGGCTCAGTCTTTCGGAGGTGCTCATAGGAATAGAATATGCGTGTGTGCACTCATAGAGGTGAGTGTATGTACGTATGTATAAGCGTTTGTGTCTGTACTGATTTTAAAAAAAAAGTCAGAGGGAGACGTGAGCCACAAACTAGTTGACACGAAAAAGGTCCCGATCCTTTCCCTGCCCCTGGCAACCTCCATCTGGAGAATCCAGCGACTGCCGGTTAATTAGTTATCCGTTTATTTCCTGGAAGATTCGGGCCACATCGGTCGCTTGCGCGATCAGGGTTAGAATATCTTTTGCAGATAATTACTTAGGGTCAGTTTATTACATAATAGTACGAGTGATGCGTGCGTCCAAGTGAAAGCTCAGTTGTTGTCATCCTTCGGTTGGCAGTACCGATACGATATGTCATATCGGATTTGTACGAATTTCAGCGAGCAAATACGATCGAATTGCCTTTCCACGCTCTAATTTTGGTGACAAGAAAACAGAGGGATAAAGTGGCTAGTTGTACTGAGAAGAAAGATTAAGCATGCATGGCATGGACATGGTGCTTTACACTTTACAGCCTCCTCCAAGTTGGTTCGGCTCGTCCTAAACAAATAACTAGTTTATCATCATCCAAGTGATCGGCACCACAGAAAAAGTTAGTAGCTAGCTCAACAAATTTCCGCTTTGCCAACATGGGACACACCGCCCCAGAACGGAATATAGCAAGGAACGCGTGCATATTTCTCCCATGTGGCACGCCCCTATAGCATAATTTATTTACTTGTTTGAGAAAAAGCTTCTACTATAGCTTAACTAGCATGCTGACCACACCGTGCATGCACACTTTTTTTAGCCTAAAAAAAGAGCATTCGCAGCACACAATCAGATCCAATTTAGAACACTGAAATCTTGTTGAATCATACGATTGTCGAAATGGATTTCTGCAAATCCCCACCAAATAAAACTGTATCTTAACGAGCGATAGTTTCAGCGAAATCTACTGTTACTCTTAGCAGGAGATATCCGGCAAAAAGATAAAAAATCTCATCGGAGGAGATACGCGGAATAATAATTAATTAATTTGCGCTCCAAAACAAAGAGGAGTATATCCCAAACCAACGCAGGAAACGCCGGGATCCGCCTCACGAAAATCGCGGGGGCCGGCGCGGCGGGCCCACCAGTCAGCCGGCCCACGCGCCCCGGTGGCAGGCAGTCCGGCAGGACAGATCGGGTGGTGGGGCTCGTTCCGTTGGAGCGGGCCCCGCGCCGGGCATCTCTCCCCCCTCGCTTGACCCGTCCGATCCTACTCTCCCGCCCCATCCGACGGCCCGGATCGGATCCGACGTGGGTCGCACGCCCCCGCCCCCGCCCCGCCACGGCCGCCTTCCTCTTCCCCGGTCTCTCTCTGTTGCGTTGCCCTTCGGTTCAAGCTTCTCCCCGTTCGCCGTTCCCTTCTCTCTCTGCCCCCGTCTCTCTCCGTGGGTGTGCGTGGTTTCTCGGCATCTATATATAAGAACTCCACTGGTTCTTCTCACCCCTGGCTCCCTCCCCTCCCTCGCTCTCTCCCCTTCTCCCTCGAGGTCGAGGAATTTAATCCGGTCTCCGTCCCGGCCTGGTTCATTGGAGGGGAGCCCGAACAGGGGAAGGCGGGCTGCACAAACAAGGAAGGTTGGTTGCCTCTTGCCTGCCCGTATCTTCTTCCTCCTCCCGTAATCTGTTCATATGCTGCGTTTGATCATGTTAATCCCCCTGGTTTCTGTTCCTGTCCGTCTCACTCTCACCCTCCCACTAGTCTGAAGAACCGGTCCATGTTTGTGCGTGTTAATCCATCTCTTGGATTCATTCATTCAGGAGAGCAGGAGAAGGCGATCGATCCAACGGATTCTTAGATTAAAATCGTCTCGCTCTTCGTTCTATTTTGATATTGATCGACCTTCGATTGCCGCCTCCAGTGATTGAGGCGCCATGGAAGGAAGGTTCGGTTGGGTTCTCCTCTTGATTGATTTCTTCCTCTCCCTCCCCGCCTGCTCCTCCTGCCGGTTGCTTTGCCTGGATGCTCTGGAACCCAACGATTTCCTACCTTGTTTTTTTAATACTTCTCCTTGGGATGGACCAAGGCCGGCGTCGATACTGTTTCAACTATCCTGTGGCAAATGTTGTGTTTTGTGTAGCCCGTACGCGTCAACTGCCTCCCCTTCCGTCCGATTCCCGAAAGGAGAGGAGAACCAGTACACCTTTCGGTTCAGATACAGTAGTACTCTGTGACGTGCTAGGGTGGGTATTAGCGATTTGACCTCACAGAAAAACCGATACTACATACTAGCTTCGATTCAGGATAAAAAGAGAAGGAGATGGTTTTAACGTGAAGGCAGCGCGTTGCAGTTAATATCTTCATCCTTTTTCCTTCTTCTTCTTCTTTCGAATGAACTGTTAACATCTTCATTTGGTCGAGGCACAAGGGAGATGGTTTGCTTGCCTTAGGGTGAAAAGTCGCCTTGGTACGGTGAAAACACACCTGCCTTTGAAAACCAGGTGGCACCTAGCCAATACAGCTGCTTATATGTTCTCATGTACAGTACTAAATGTTTGTTTGTCTGCCTAAGAAATTTCTGTTATAGGTAGGCCTACATGGAGGGAGGGCCACCACACGGCCACACCTAACTGAAACAACCAATTTTGTTAGTCATACTATTATAGTACGTGTTGATGTTGGTGCCGTACGTTTTTCAGTTATTAGTCATATGGCCACAACATGCCCCCTATTACGCGCGCCTGCTAAATCTTTGGCAGCTTTGCTGCTGTGTCGTACGGACAGTATCCGTGTCATCTCTCATTGCACATGAGACTTGACAGTGTCATGGAGTAGGACAGTTCACCATTCCTATATGTTCAGAATCTTTCTTTTTTAGGTGAAGAAGAATCGACTCAACTGACAGTTGAATCGTGGCCTGACTGATTTAATCTGTTCTAACAAACATATCTGATTTTCAGTCTCAGGTGATCATCTCTAATCAATTAGCATGGATGAACACATGGGACGACGGACGGTCGGCGGCCTCCTCTTCACCAAGGGGGGATCCATCCTTCTCTTCAGGGAGGACAGCTCCCGCCGCAAGGCCGGCGCTTGCTGCTCGCGCAATGGCTGCAACGGCACCCGGCATTCGGCAGACAAAGGCCGACCAATGCACAGCCACAGGGAAGCAGCTTCAGCAGCAGCCAAGGAAGCAGCACCAACCCCCCGGAGGTCACAACCTGTCAGGAAACCTCCACAGGGAAGCAGCAATCCAGCAGGGCCCTGTAGCGAAACCGACAACGGGACGGGAGAGGCGGCGGCTCCCGGTGCCGGGCGTGACCTGCTGGCGCGCCTCAAGGACAGGGTGAACGCGTCGAGGAAGCGGTCGCTGGCCAGGGAGATGAGCAGCCCATCGTCATCGTCCGGTGGATTCAGTGCCAGTTCTTCTGGTGGTGGCGCCACCCGGTCATCAGCGGTTTCGAGGCCGACGCGTCGTGCCGCTTCCAGGATAAGGAAGGCAGATGAAGGCGAAAGCGCAGGAGGTAGTCGCAGGGTGCCTAGGAGGGACACCGGTGGTGGCGGTGGTGCCAGGGGGAATTCGGATGACCCGGTGATGGTTGGGCAGCGGGCAGCAAGGGAGCAGGCGCCTACCGAAGGGTTCATCTCTGGGTTCTTGGCGAGGTACAGGGGTAGTCTCCAGGGAGGGTCGTCTCTGCAGGATGGCGCCGAGGACTCCAGCGGGTACTGGCGCTTTGACGTCGAGGGCAGCGAAGAGGTAAAATGGCACAACTCTGTCACTCACCACATCATGATCATCCCAAAAACTTGGTGAACTGTAAAAACAATGTATCTGAACCGTGAAATTACGCTGCAGCTGGAGAACTACTTCATGCTCAGCGATCGGCACCGAGCGATGAGGATGGACATCGATGGCATGTCCTACGAGGTATGATCCCATCCAAAGTTTCCTCTTAGTTGCACATTTGGGATGCATTGTTTCTGCCTGTTTTTTGGATCATCATCTGACACTTGATTCTGCAGGAATTGCTCGCGTTGGGTGACCGGATCGGCACGGTGAACACCGGGCTTTCGGAGGACGCGTTGTACAAGTGCCTGAAACGAAGCCTGTACACGCCCACAGCCCCAGAGACACACCAAGACTGCGACAGAAAATGCAGCATATGCCAGGTAAAGTTCATATATATGCAGAGTTTCAGTATCACTACTGCAAAACTAAATTTTCAGGATTCGTGTGTGATCTGACACATGTGATGTAATTTTGTTTCCAGGAGGAGTACTCAGGCGGTGAGGAGGTGGGGAACATGGCGTGTAAGCACTACTACCACATCGCCTGCATACAGCACTGGCTCCGGCAGAAGAACTGGTGCCCCATCTGCAAATCCGTCGCCGCCAAGACCGTCTAGCACTAGCAGCCCCTGCTTGTTTAGTGTAAACAGATTCTCCTGAAATGTCTAGACACAAGATTTGTATTCTTTTTTCCATTCTCTAGAATGAAACATTTGTTTGTGCCTTCAAAACTTCTTGTCTTCCTTCAGTTCACAAGGTACAGTGGACAAAGAAAAAGGGAACAGGAAATAAACTCTTGATTAGATGGTGGGAAATTTCACTTGCTCAGTGGTTTCTCTTGTCAATATTCAGTGCGTGCTCTTTATTTGTGATGTATATACATGCCCCCTTTTTTAGTCAGTAAATCTCTTCAAAGGGTGCCGGGTGGTTAATAACGAGCATCTGTATTTGTCAACTCACACAGTCAGAGTTTAAAAAAAAGACAAATACTCCATCCGTAAAGTAATATAAAAGCGTTAGTGATCTAAACACTCTTATATTACTTTACAGAGAAGTGCTGTTTATTTTAGTTTACGAACACCCCGGTCTGATCTTATGTTCGAACCCTAGTGGGCAGGAGAAGATAGGCACGAACCCTAGGACTGAACTCGGGTGGGCAAGCTATTCTTCTTGCCGTGTACGCTCACAGACTATACATACATTATCCTATCCACGCACGCATACACAAGCTGCTATCAGTTCGAAATAAAATGTGTAAAGTGGTTGGAGGCGTACACGAACCTCATCCATACGAGTACAGACGTTGACGGGGACGATATCTACTTGCGAGACACCTTTGTGTTCCCTTCTCCACTCTTTATTTCGAAGTTCCTGTCATGTCTGACGAGCGACTGGATCAGATCACACGATATATATGCGGGCAAATGGGATGGGGTGGGAGCAGTTGCAACTTGGCGGGGAATCTCTGCTTTCTCTACGACAATGGCTCCTCTTTCCATAAGAACCTCAGGTCACTAGGATTTAGACAGCAGCCGACGTATGCCTCGAATCCTACGTCTCCGAAATCACATCATTTTTTCCTCTCCTTGAAATGCAGAATAATATGATCAGGCAGACTGAACGGACTCTGATGAGCGTAAGGAAATTGACAAGGAAATGGCATAATCCCTTTGTTATTAAGGTTTAGAACACACTTGCATTACCAGCAGCACATGATAAATTGTGCTCCTTAACTTATCTCACACCAGGAAGTTCCTAAGATAGTATATGTACAGATCTTAGAGGAGTACAGACAATAGTCTGATAACAATTGGTAGTAGATTTCCTAGCCCGATGCAGAAGTACAACAAATCACCCATTGTCCAGGGCTAGGAGGCAACCCTAAACTACGGAATGCTATTATTCGCTTCTTTCTTGCTGCAACTGAACACTGGACTGAGTTCACCGAAGACAGGTTCCGAGATTGAGCCGCTGGGGAGGTTTCGTTATTCCGGTGCTCGCCTCCTTCTATATATAAAGAAATGAACATATGGAGGTGGAGACGACGAGGAAATGAGAGCCCCTGGGCAAGTCCACATAGCATCAACACCGGACAGACAAAGCACCAGGTAATATAAAGTGCCATGAAGTGTTCCTGAGGAAATCGATGAGCCACAAGTTAAAAACAAAAAAAGCAACAGCAGCAGCCATGCGCACATCAGAAATGCGTATCTAGAACTAGTCAGATGTTATTATTATTGACAGCTACTCAGCTATTATGGATATACCATTTCTAATTCCAAATAGTAGTACGTATGTTTCCAACCATGAGGTGAAATTTCCCACGACTTTTCACACCCTCCTATTCTTTATCCCTCATTATTTGTGTGTGTGTGTGTGTGTGTGTGTGTGTGTGTGTGTGTGTTTTAGGGGAGCGTGTGGTATTTATTAATGGGAATATTTTGGTCCTATTATATTTCTACATAGATTTCCTTTTATGCCTTATCTGTCAAAGTATGGGTGTACTGAAGTTGTACTGCTGTCCAAACTTTGGTGGACCAACTGATGATAAGTTTTGGAACTTCTGGCCGTGACTTATAAGCATGAGACTTATACCTAGTCATATGCAATTAGCTACCTGTCCGACTGCTTCACAGCCAATACAGACTGCCTAGGGCATGAGCTGGCAGGGGATTTTCCTAGACGTTGTAACCCATTTTGGTGGCAGGGGATTTTCCTGGCTTATCAGTATAATGGAATAGTCACACTCCATCTAAAAAAACTCACTGTGCTTACTGCGCACGTGCTTTGATAGTTTAGTTTGTAGCCTCTCTCGCTCCAAACAATCACCATGCATTTTGTTAGAGCGTGGGTTTGGCAAGAAAAGAGGGCTCAAAGACATACCCCCAGTGTTGAAATCAAAACTTTACTGTTTTTTTAGTCTAAACTAGAACTTTTAGGCATCAAGACATTCCTAAACCAACTATTCCAAGAACACAAACAAATTTAACTGTAAATGATGCAGAATTCTCAAAGTTAACTTCATTTTACTAATAATCTCTATGTGTCCATACAGTTACGGCAGCATTATTTAAGAAATGTATTTTCATGTTTCCAACTAGCCACCCAAACAGTTGCAAATCTAGGGTTTAACATTACCTGTACGAGATGAACCAAGTGAGGATTTTCAACCATGAAGAACCTTGTCTGGATCTAACTGACCACTATAGTAACTGGAAGGAACAGCTGAGAGCTCCAACCTTCCTTTCCACTCTTCACCAGGCTTCAGGGTAATGGGCTTCTCAACAGCTGCAGGCTCCACACACAACATGTGCTTATATTCTTCATCACCAAAATCAAGAATGGTTTTTGACCTCCTCTCCCATGGGTTCCATACAGCTTCAAAGGGCAACATGATAACGGAAGTATGAATTTTGTAACAAGTTAAATAAGAATTGACACAGATAGGTACAGTTTTCACTGCCAAATTAACTTACCAGCATCTGGAAGCCCATCTTTCCTAAGCACAAATGTTCTTTTCTTCTCATGATCAATAATTGCAATTTTTGGTGGTGTGTCCAGATATACTTTATCAATCTTCACAGCAAAGTTTACAAGTTAGCAGCAGTAGCTTCATATAATCATATGTAACATTGAAGTGGCTTACTTACCTCTGATTCAAACACAAGAGCATCCCCCTGCTCCGTGAATCGCTCTTTTCCCTTCAGGTTGTCAAAGTAGTCCATTGTTTCCAGCCCTTCAATACGTACTTCGCTAAGGAATTTTGCAGTTTCAGTAAGCACATAATAAAGTTTTGAATTATGATGCATTGGAACAAGGAAGCTACAAAAAGTAAACCTAAAATTGCTCAATGTTATCACCAAAATGTGCATTGGAAATCATCATTAGTTTTTACTCACAGCAGCAACTGTTTTTGCACTGAGATTAGTCCTGTGCATTCGGTTAATTCAGTCAGTTCGGTTTGGTAAATACATTACAGTTTCAGTAAATACCAAATTATTTTGGTATGGGTTTGGTAAATACCAAACTAACCAAAGTTGACCAGAATTTAAGAATAAAGCCACCATATTTTACTTCTGTTCGTACATCTGAATATTTCAAGCTTGTTATGCACAATGCGGATTGAATAGTCAACACCCGGATACTCAGATTGATCAGCATTCTCAAGTGATTAAGTGGCAAAGTGTAGACCATGTCGCCGATCAGTCCATGACACACGCAATAACAAGCCTACAACCTACAGGCTAGACTAGAGGCTACAGCGGCACCGTGCATCACACAAGCTGACAAGTACAAGTTGAGTCGCTACAGCGTACAGCCCTTGCTAGTTTATTTAATAATAGTACACAAGTCCAATCTGCTAACTGCTGCTATGGTGCTGCCATGTGATCCATGTGTGCCACAGAAGGGTGGAAAACGGAAGCGAAACACTTCTGTGGACCTGGAACTTTGGTTTTCAGTATCTACCAATTCCTCCGAACTAACCAAGGCTAAAACGGTACCAGATATTGATATATTGTACCAAAAAATCTAAAACCGCAAAAACCTGGTTCAGTTCAGTTTTAATATGCAGTGTCTTAACTGAGATAAGCACTCTGGGTTACAGAATTATCAATGGGCAAACTCAAGCAAAACTTTAGAAACCCTGTTCCACAGTGTCCACTATCTAAGCATGAGGATGCAGTATTCTAACAAGCCAGGATAGGTAACAATTTTGCCCTTATCCATTGACTCAATCCCAACGAGAGGAAACAACTTAACACCCAAGCATACACTTATTTATCTGCAATAATTTAATAATTACTTGAATATGTTTTCTCTACTGTCATACTGCTGGCACTAACCAATAAAAGCAAGACCAATATTTTGAAAAGTTGTCCATATGCCCGGCACTAACAATATGAGAATCAGAATTAAAGCAGCAGAGTTTCGCATCTGCTCCAAGAAAATGTTCTGAATTTACTAGCCTTGGTTTAATACAAGCGCCGCAACTATCACATACATGAGCCTGTACCATGGTATTAGCAATATGAAACCAGGGTAGAAAACCAGCATATTTGTACATCTGCTCCATTTTTTAACGAAACTACTGGTCTTAGACTCTTGGTAGTTGGCTCAGTACCAATGACACAAATACCATGTATATAAGCCTATTGAAAGGTGGATCGGTGTCTGGTGGTGCACCATTGCCGAGTAAACCCAAGCACATATACCACTGGATGTCTGGACAGCTTTACACTAACATGATTTCACTGTTGCAATTCTAAACCCTTGGAGAAGTTTGAGCTTGAAATATCCAGGGAGGGAAAAAAACTGAGGAAAGGGAGGAAAAGAAATTGCAAAGCATAGGCGCACCTTATGTCAGACACGGAGAAGTATGTATGATATGCAAATGTAAATGAGAAAGGCTTTCCATCAGTGTTGGTGTTTCTAATTCGAGAAGTGAGAAACAAATCTCCTTTGGGTCCAAGAGCAACTCTTAACCGGAATTCGAATCTGTAAGTCATAATTTGTCCAAAACATGAGCAGAATCAGAATTGGCGACATGAAGAAAAGGAAGGAAACATGATCTCTGGATGGTAGATCACGGACCTGTGAGGCCAAATCTTGAGATCTTCTTCAGAAGGCTTCAGAATGAGGTCTGCATAAGTTTTAATACCAGTGTTTACTGGGAGTGGTGGAGGATTATCATCAACGAGCCATAGCCGGTTCCTTGCAAATCCATGTTTTTCAAGATTTCCATGTGTTCCAAACTGCATTAATATAGTTCATTTGGATGACCAGAGAAGGCTTACATTACAAGGAATTTATGGAAGTAAATATAGATGAAGCTGCCATACCTGGGGAAAGCAAATTGGTATGCCACCACGAATTGCTCCCGGGGACTTGAAAATTGCCTGAAAAGGATTGTATTTTGAAACCACAATTCAGAGATGCTATAATTACTGCAGTAACACGTAACAAATCAAATAATTAAGTAATATATGCCAGTATTACAGTGTGAAACTTCGTAATTAATGGGGCTAAACTTCCAACGGTGCAAAATAAATATAACACCTAACATGGCCAAAATTGCCAATACAGGCGAAGATGAGGCAGTTGTTTGTGGTTATGCTCAAAAGGACACTTGATCAGAATGTGATAGGCTTGTGGTCAAATGGGGACAAACAACAAAATTAATTAGTGGGACAAGGATGACAGGATGTGTCAATGCATCCTATAGAAGTTTATCGATACAACAAAATAATGACTTAGCCAATGAAGTCATCCATGACCTCATGAATGCCTCCGTACCTTGCTGCTTACAAAAAGTAACTCATCCCCCTGCTCATTCTTCCAAGAGGTAACTTGTCCTCCATATAGACGGACCTAGCAAAAGACAAGACAATTGATTAGCAACACTGGTCTGAGTCTAAAAAGGTGATGATAATTGGCAATAATACACGTAGGGACCAGGCCATAAATATTTATTTTGCAGCACGGATAATTCTTGAGATTTGGCAGAATAAGGGTGGAAGGTTAGGCAGCAATAATGCAGGAGAATTCAGAATGGTTGATCTGAATCCTACTTGTACGCACGCATGACACAAAACAGAAGTTTAGAGCCTTTTTGCCTGACAAACTTTAAGTACTGCCATGACAAGAGTAAAAAGAAGGATTAATCCAAACATCTGACTAAAATGCTAACCTACTCGTCATGGCACAACTCATTCATCTACAAATGACACTGCCGTCTTTGTAACAATAGCTCCACAGACCACAAACAGGTTTTCCTTACCAGTTGGCACTGATATGCTTATAAATGGCATATGGTGGCAAACTAATTTTAATGAGATCAAATTTCACCATTTTTCAACCTTACGGTTCTTAATAAGCTATAAAGGCTCCTCAGAGACTGAGAGGTAGACAAAAGTAGATGCCTTCGGTAAGACTACTGGGGTTTTGTTTGCTAGTCCCTGCCCCTCCATTCCAATAATGCATGACCGGGAAACAGAGCAACGCATACTCAAGTTCATCTTGTAATTCTAAAGTTGTCTTTGGTATAGCTAAGTTCACAAGTTGAAACACACCTCCCATAGCTTAGTGCTTCGGGCGAGCAAGACCCTGTCATGCTAAGCAGCTGGCACAAGCTGACAAGTACACCGAAAGGAACACATCAATCAAAGTTAAATTTGGTATGCAGGTGACTCGATCGGCCTAACACGCCAGAACCACAATCAGGAACCCACTGCCCTGTGGTTCCCACAACTTGTCATTAAAAAAGGAGGATTGGTAGGATAGCACCTCCCCCTAAAAAAGGGCCATCAGACGCATATGGGACCAAACGCCAGCAGACAGGGGATTAGCCATCCGATCCTGGAAACGTTAGGGGGGTAACCTACCTAGTCCCCTAGTCGGTGCGTCTTTTCCGCTGGGTCCCCGAACATGATAAAGAATTAAAGATGATTGTCTGCGTAAAACTTGTGTCCTATCGGTTATCACCATCACATCTTACCCAGTCCAGCTACCAAGCTGTGAATGCTACAGTGACGTGTGGCCGCAGCCGCGTCTCTTGGCTTTTGATTTTTTACAGGATTTGCGCGCACACAAAAGTATTTTGGTTTGAGCCAACTCGCGAAATCTGATTGCAGCAGCGCTCCCCGGCGATTAAACTGCGTTTGACTGACGGGAGGACGGCGAAATGGCACCGCGAATTCCTCTGATCAAAAGGGGAAAGATAAAAAGAGACGCTAAGAATTAAACCCTATCATCAGAGCGCGGTACGACATAATGCGCCTCGATTTGATGGGCCAGCCGAACCACGAAATCCGCCCGAAAATCGCGCGCGCCGGACGCCTGTGATTCTGAAGCCGGCGCCCCTGCCCCTCCTTAACGCGCGCGCGCCGGCGGAGCCCCGCGACGGATCCGCGCGGAATGCGCTCCGAATCGGCTCAAAACGGGCGGGGGAGCGGGAGGGGAGGGG